AAATAAAGGTTTTAGAACGAATATTTTGATCTAAAACTCGATTTAATGTTGGCTTTTATTGAAGCTCTTTCGATTTCCTCGCCATTGGTAAAATCTGTTTAGTGCTTCGAATCGCGGTTGGTCAGTGGCAATTACCATGGAGACTTCGGACCAGTTGTCATGGAAATGGCGTAAGCGCCGCCATGTTTTTGGCGACACTCTTTCCTCCAGTAATATAGTATAGCTCAGTGGTGTTTTTCCAAAGTACAAGTTTTTCAAAAAACAAAATGGCTGCCGACAAAGGAGTGATCGATTTAGATTCACAAAAGCATGACAGAATTCATTGGAAAGTACGATTATGTATATTTTTTGTCATTAGAAGACTTTAGACTTATTGTTCAATCAAATTTAACATGAAAAGTAGAAGCTTAAGCAAGATTAGACAAGTAGCACTTGCTGTAAAAATATCAAGACCGACAGACCGTGACTTTTTTCTAAATGTTTATTGTATAGGCAAGATGCATTGACTACTGGAGCAAGTGGAGGTCTTGTGTTGGTATGATAAATTGCTTAAATATTACAATATATAGACATTGTTCAGGCAAGGTCATATACAATTGTTTATCAATGATATTTGTTTCAGCTTCATCCAACCAATTCCACAAGTATTACCAATATGGAGAATTTGAAGATTGTGATATCCACCAAAAAGATTTGAAAAACTGCTTTCTTTGGAAGACAAGGAAATCAATCGATGCACTGGTATAAACTGTGATAGATCATAGATAGGTCTTTGTGGTTACTGAAAACTAGACTAATTTAGCTACATAGCTTTATTTTCCGGGAACCGGCACTAGTACAGTACCTGAAGAAAACGTGTGATGTTTGACAGAGACTGGAAACACTCTTCTTATATTCACCTGATGTGAAATTATAATCAGACAACTACAAGAATCAAACAACACTCACAGGGGTGAAATATACATCACTTTCCATTTTAGGATAGTCTTATTTCAAGAAAACAAGAAGAGGAGAGAAAGAAGTCGTCAGAATTTGCCAACTCCGTTTGGGAGAAGAGAGAGAATCCAGCAAAAGATTGGGAGTAACATTGATAGTTTGGAATGCAAGCCTGTGACTACAAAGCATATGTATATCTGCCTTTGGCACCATCAAGGCATAAGGCAGTGTGTACTGCAGATTGTCAAAGTTATTGTGAGAGTGGCGAGGAAGATGTCTTCAAATGCAGCTGAGAAATATAGCTCAAAGCTGACCAATGAACTTACAATAAATCTGAAGAATGATTGCAATAGGTCATCAGAACGATAACGGGACAGCGAACTGGACATGAAAATCATGTGGTCTGCTGGCATATAAAATTTAAGGTGATGCTCCAGTATAGCGTCAGCAAACATGTAATTTTATGCCCTGTTTCGGTGTCCCATGGAGTGTCAAAAGTTATTTCATGAAAATCAACTATACAGTCAGTTTGTAATTAATTTATCTCACAAAACATGTTTCTGAAATTGACCACCATCCGCTGTCCTGTAACGCTTTGAGGGGGGGGGGGGGGACTACCCAGTATTATTTTTTGTCAGATACCATTATACCCAAATTTGGGAGAGACCCAGATATCAAATACTCAAAACTACAGATATCAAATATCCCATAATTAACTGTCCTGATACCATAATACAAATAAAACACCTAAGATTCCTGTGTACCCAATGCCACTGGTGAGCCTGACACTTACGAAAATTGAATGTCCATATTTTTATATGGAATAGCGCATTTTCGAGAGATCAAAAATAATTATAACCCAGGCATGTTCCTCTTTGAAATTTCTGTTCACTACAACACAAAAGCACCTTTATTTTGACTTTATATTCCAGCATTCCAGGTTGAGTGACTCCTGTTTTTTTGAATTCTAATGAATGCACGCCTGTGACACGCCTCTCTTTACGTTAGGGAGAGTTTATATCCAATCGAGAAAAAGCCTCAATCAAAAACTATAAATGAAAAGTAAGATTCAATGAATATAATGTTGCAGTAAATGGTCTTTAAAAATTGGCTTTTTGGAGCAAAAATAGCAATTTAAAAATAAATTGAAATGTATCGAAATGTACATATTTTATTTTCGTTCGTGTTGTCATTTCCAGCCAATCACAGCTCGAGATTCGGGTAATAAAAAACAAACGGGACGTGCAACGTCGCATTCTCTTGTGCAAAGTCGAGGGCAAATTCCATCTTTCAGCCTTGTTTGTGGTCGCTTTTACAGCTATTCCTCTCAAAATCGTGCTAAAATGGATGCACCATTAACACCAGAATTAAAGAAAGAGCTTAAGAACATCGCTGAATCGATCGTAAAGCCGGGCAAAGGTATTTTAGCGGCTGACGAAAGCACAGGAACTATGGGCAAAAGACTCAGTCAAATTTCAGTCGAGAATACTGAAGAGAACCGTCGACTTTATCGCCAGCTTTTGTTTACAGCCGATCAGAAAGTTGCTCAGCATATCGGTGGGGTTATTCTGTACCACGAAACGCTCTACCAGAAAGCAGATGACGGCACACCGTTCGTAAAAATGATCCAAGATTTAGGAATTATTCCTGGCATAAAAGTTGACAAGGGAGTCGTTCCCCTTGCTGGAACTGTGAACGAGGGCACAACTCAAGGTCTCGATGGCTTGGGCGAGAGATGTGCACAGTACAAGAAAGATGGATGTCAGTTTGCTAAATGGCGTTGTGTTTTAAAGATCGGCCCGAACAACCCCTCAGAATTGGCCATCAAAGAGAATGCTAACGTTTTGGCAAGATACGCAACGATCTGTCAAGCGAACGGTTTGGTGCCCATTGTTGAACCTGAGATCTTGTGCGACGGTGAACACGACCTCGAAACTTGTCAAAAAGTGACGGAAGCTGTGATCTCTGCAACGTACAAGGCATTGGTTGACCATCATGTATATTTGGAGGGTACATTACTCAAACCTAACATGGTCACTCCAGGTACAAAATGTGCAGACATTTTTTGCCTCCAACACCTCGATTTTTTGGCCTTAACTTTTATGATCAAGTGCATAAATATATATATTTTTGTTATATTTATTTAAGTGTGTTTGAAGCAAAATATTGAATTGTTTTTTTAAAAAACCGAGTTACATAATTCAACAGGAAGTCGTAAGTCCACGTAATAAAGGTCATGAGGTCAAAAGTTAAACCACCAAATCATGATCAGTTGCATTTAAACTAAAAAACATTGTCTAAATTAAATGAAACCTTTAAACGCTTCTTGGAAACATGAGAGTTCCATGTGAGAATGGCTGAATTCCTACCAGAAGATGTATAAATTCAGTAAACAACATATTTTCCATTTCCTGTCAGAATGATGGATAACTCATGATGATTTTACCTGTGGTTGTTCATCCTTCAATGCAAACGACTATTTTCTACATCATCTTTAGTTTAAATTGTCATATCTTTGAATTTTAGGTCAAAGTTGCTCCAAGAAGTACACCCCAGAGCAAATCGGTGAGGCCACAGTCACAGCATTACAGCGGACGGTACCAGCCGCTGTTCCAGGCATAACATTCCTGTCTGGTGGACAGTCCGAGGAGGAAGCTTCTGTCAACTTGAACGCCATTAATAAGCATCCAGGTATGGTATATGTACCTTGGAAGTTTAGCAGTAGTGTAATCGGGAGGTTTGGTTTCCTCCTGTAGTAACACTAGACCAACAAGAGGCATTTACTGGACATCTAGGAAGAACAATTTAGAACTGATAGAACTATCCAGTTAGTTTGATTCATTGCCAAACTCAATGCTGCTTTCTCAACAAACAAACTATTTATGTTTTCAGGTAAAAAGCCATGGGCGTTGACATTCTCATTTGGCCGAGCTCTTCAGGCAAGCACTCTGAAAGCCTGGGGTGGAAAATCAGAAAATGTCAAAGCCGGTCAAGCAGAGCTTGGAAAACGTGCTATGGCAAATGGCGCTGCATCCTGCGGCAAATACACTGGTATTGATAGTTTGGCTGGCAGCCAGAAAACATTTGAAGCTAACTATGCTTACTAAGGGGCATTCCATCAATGAACTTGCTTCTGAAAACCTTCACAGAGTGTTAATATTTATGGTTTTAAAATAATAGTCTTGTGAACTTCAAGGACTGCTCTCTACTGTATATCTAACGTGTTTGTATGCTTGTGTGTGCTACTTCTAAAAGGCAATAATAAAAGTGCTCAAACATTTGAGAGGAAGTGTGAATGAGATATTGTTAATTAATTAATCACAAAAATGCAATATTTTATAAATATGGCATGCCGACAAAACAATTGCGTACATTTTTATGTACACAAAATCACACATATACACTGTAGTTAGTGCTCTTTCACAAATTCTTTGTAGGAGATTTTGCTGGCCCAAATTTGAAATGAATGCTAACAAATTTACTGTACATTTGAAATAAGTTTACACACTGCAAAACATTAATGGTAATCTGGTAATGCCATCAAATGACACCCATAAATTAAAAACCAACTATCACCTTGAATTTCACTTATGATACAAGTCAATTTGAGAAATAATATAACAAACTCAAATGCTGTTTACTACCGGAATATAACACCTCAAGGCATGCGAAAACACTCGGTTAGCACCTCGTTTTTCAACACACTTTTCAGTATTTGAGGGACGACTTGCAGGCGGGAAAATCGGGTGTTCTCCTGCCCTTTCCCACCTGCAAGTCTCCCCCCCCCCAAAAAAAAAAACAACCCTGCTACACAGGCTGCAGCCCTTGCAAATGATGTTCACATGTAAGGCTCCCATAATTTATAATACACATGAGACTAATATTACTACATTTGATACAAAGACAGCTCACCACTGCAACAGTTAATTCAATAAGACCA